AGCTTATAGAGTATACATGTCCATTTCAAGACAGTAGCTCTGCTCTAATAACATCCTGATTTTAACCTCATTTTAAATTCAAGTAATACGAGGACAGGAGTGAATTCAGCAATACTTGCAAGTATGACAGTATCAAACAGAGAAGAGAACTTATACCACAACACACACACACATATATATATACATTTTCTCAACATATTACTACACATTGATTGTGAAATTGTTTCTCTCAAAGATTGTTGAAAAAATGCTTTTTGTCATTCGATTTAGCTTCTTCTAAAAGAGAGGCTGACAGAAAAAAGGAAAAGTTCAAATCACTCCTAAAGAAGAGAGGTAGCCTCCCACTGCTCTGCCTGCAGATTCTGCTCCTATGTTGTAGTTAGAACTTGCAGTTCCTTTTGGTGCACTGACTACAGCTCATATCAACAAAACTTAAGACTAAATTAAGCACCATTTATTTCACGCGGTCTGGCCATGTGGAGGCAGAATGTCAAACCAGATGGTGTGAAAAATCTGCTGCTGCTTTTGTGTCAGCTGCATTTATGTGTGCAATAACAGCTATCAAGTCACACATGTAGACAGCTTCTTAATACCAAACATCTTTGCAGATGTTTGTACAATGAAGAAATGTTAGAGGCTGAACAATTTCCGCCAAACTTTACAACGGTTTGTAAATACTGTCATGTGTGGAGCAGATGGGTAAGCATGAATAAAGATCAAACCAGAAAGTGGGTTTCATGGACAGACTGGTATATGTGAACACAACCTAAAACCATCTTTTCTGTAAAGACTTTCATAAGTGTTCACAGCTTTTCTAGTTAAGGATGCCTCTTGCTATGCTCGGGCTGCCTAGAGTAAATTTCCGAGTGGCTGTGCTGCAAAGTTCAAGCTACAATTAACATTGATTGAAAATACTGTTTTGATGCCGTTTTGTAAATTCTGTATGTGCGTTGTTCACTTTCTCTTTCATTTTTCAGAGATTGAGACCCCCAGAGAAAAGGACAGAGCAAAGGGTGTGTTACTCTTGCTGTTTTATCACATGACTAAAGATCACTTATTGTTACACTGTGTACACAATAAACAAAATGTGACAAATAGTTGCAGATAGATAAAGATTTCATATTTTTCTATTCTATGATTGCTGGAATCCCTTGGCTAAATAAACAGAACTCTTTGTTTCAATATATCAGATTAAACCAGATTATAACATATTGTATTATATATTTGACTCAAATTAATTCTTGAATTGACTTCTTTTTTTTTTTAGATAAAACTACAGAGAAGAAGATAGCTAAAGAAAAAACTGGAGGTAAAGTTAGCTGTACCTTACATTTTCCAGAGTATCAAAGTGTCCATGAAAAAGAACAATAAACAGCATTTTTCTTTTGTCCAAAAAAGTCATTTCAATTTTCTCTTGTCATTTACAGAAGCCCCGATTCACAGTGAGGCACAGCAGCCTGCAAAGAAAGGTACAATTCAGAGTGGCTTTTTATGCACAGTAGCAGTGTAGCTGAATTAACTTCATTCATTTCCAAATTTTAAAATTTTTCTGATAAACATTGTATGTTTATTTTTTTCCAGAAGAACTGGTGGATAGCTTTCCTACGGATGGTAAAACTCCCCTTATAATAATTTATATATGCATTATTGTGCAGTTTGTTATAATTCTTCTCGCAGGTGAAAACACGTCTTCTGTATTGTTCCACTGCTTTCACAGATGAGCTGCCCTACTTCCAGTGTTTCTTTGTGGATGAGGAAGAGGCCCAGTTTCCATTTTATGCCTTCTCACCTCTTCATCTTTGACGCTTCAGTCTGAATGTAGTCTGAGATTTTCTACGTATCTTACCGATAATAACAGAGTCACGTCACACCCGGTGCTGCACAGATGTGCTTGCAGCTCACTGCTGCTTGTCCCCGGCAGGAAATCCCTGGACAGCAGGAGATGATGGGATAGTGTGTGATAGGACGGTGTTTTTTCTGTTTCCACAAATGGTTGAGCTCTCGCTCCAAATACACGCAGTTAGTGTCATTCCTTTCAGTTTCTGTTTAATACCGTTTTTTCAAATTCAGTTAATGCATACAGTCTCTTTTATGTGATTTTGTGGGATTATTTTTGAAAGGAGTAATTGAGTGCATTCACAGGTCATTTAGCTGAAATTAGTCTGTTAAAATATCCTGCGAGACTGGATTATATATTTTTTTATATTACAGTGATGAACTGTGCTGTAAACAGGGTACAAAAAAACAGTAACATATTTAAGGTAGGCTTGGATTACATTTTCTCAGCCCACATTTACTTGAAAAGTTGTTGTTTTTTTACATTAACTGTTAACCTGCATTGAATTTAATTCCCTGTCATCACCAAAGCTTTTAATGCTCTGCTTAGCCTGGATTTACTGTGTTTCTTGCTATTTTTTATGGCTATATAATTTTAAATGATATCTCTTTTTAATGATATCAAAATTTAACATGGTGCAGGAATGTTTTTCTTTTGTTTTTGTTCCATTTGTTTATCTTTCAGTTTTTAATTGTCAGAAGGAATGACCATGCAATGTATATGAGAGCTCCCAACTTAATGGCGGAACACCACCTGAAATGTTGAAAGTCTTATTTAATCGAACCATCTGGACATCTGCACCAACTCTCAAAAGGAGGCTTGAGTGCAGAATATTTATTTTGTATCGTTTCTACCATCAGGTATCAGATTTATTCTGTGAATCCTTGATTGACCAAACACACACTGTCAGGGACTTTGTCACTGACTGTTTAGCTGTGTAAAAGGGGTAGAAACCTGTCATTTTGTTGATTTTTTTTAGCAGGTTCTTTTATACCAGAACCAAAGTAACATTGTCCTTTTTATGCTATAGGCATATATTACATGGATGCATATATTATATGTTATCTCATATAAACAGTGCAAAACAGAGGTAATAGAAGCATGATTTTTTTTTAAATCTGATTACCCTGTTCTGGATATTTGTAGTGAGGGCTGAAAAATTCTATTGTAGATTGTTTTTGGTCTCACTTTGGCAGCCAAATCATGTATTCAGAGCCTCTGAAAACCAATGCGGTTTATTTAGAGTTAAGAGTTGAATAATGATTTGAATGATTGATTGTAAACTGTGTAGATTCTTTCAAAAGCTTCTGAGTGGCCTTCCATATGTTGTTCAGACAACAGTTCCTACAGCTTATGGCACTAATCCTGAATCACACGCAAATCCACTTACATTTTTAAAGTGAAATGATGGGAACACACTCTTTGTCAGCACAGTAACAATGCACACTGTGCAGCTCACAGCGCTTCTGTTACTAAATTGTTACAGCTGCAGTTTCACAGTGATGCTCCCCTTGTGACTGATAAGAATGTGAACAGTTGGGTCCTGACTGACACAGCACTGTCTTGTCCCTTGAATATCTACACGACACACTGCAGAAGTGTGAGAAAATGTGCATTTGCTTCAAACTAAATTATACCTAAACACTCATTTTTACCGGTGAATATGTGCAATACTTTTGTTTTAGATAATGTCAGTAGTTATTGTGTATGTCTCATAGTCCTTGAATGAACTATGCATGATGTATGCTAGTATATGAATGTGCCTATCATGCTTTAGCATTTATGTAATATTTACTCTCAATCTAAACTTGCCAGATGCACTTGAATCTACAAAACAACTAATTTGATTTTTCAAATTAAATGTCTGTCAGTATTTTTGAGGCAGGCATTAGATTGTTTAATAAATAAAAAACATTTTCCTGTAGATTGTTTAAAAAGGGGGGAAATTTATTGTTTTACCTCAAACAATTACTGCTTTTTATCTGCAGTAAAAGTGCCATTAGGTGTATTTTTTTCAATTATACCCTCAATGCTTGTGAAACAATTCAGCATTAAAACATGGCACTGCAAGTGTTTGTCTCTTCTTTAAAGTACCAACCACAACATTTCTCAATAACTATAAGCTGAATAAAAATCCACAAATTGAATACAAATTATTCAAACAACCAGAAAGTTTCTCAGTGAGGCCACTTTATATGCCACAGTCCTTTTTTTCAGTTATAGAAAAAGGGTCTGTTCTGGGACCAGTTGCTGGCAGCAGATATGCATCCCTGTGGTTTAACAGTGTTTAAGGAACTGAATTTCCCTAGCAATGTGAGTCTGCTGTTGCCTTTTTAGATAATCTGCTTAATTCAACACAAATGAACTAGTTGTCTCATCATTCTTACTGGTCATTTGGATTTTACAACTAAAGATGGCCCGGTCATCTTACTCCCTCATGAGCCCAGAGAAGGGTTAATCTAGGTCAGCTTACACCACTGACACAGATTCCTCACAAAGAGGAGACTCCTGCTGCTCTCCTGAGAAGAGCAAGTATGCTGAACTGTTATCTTTTACTGTTCCTCTTGCACAGAGGGTAACAGGCTCCCTCTGCATTTACAACGCAATGATACCTATGAGAAAGCTGTGACATAACTCGCTGTAGCCCAAATACTTATACAAATTGTTTTGTGAGAGTAAGGGCTGCCTTTATCAGGAGTTAGACATTTATTTTCATTTGAATTCATTCACTCGGCAACCCCAAATGAGTTCCACTTCAGTTAAGTTTCTTTGTACCCCAGGCTATTCAATAGTGGCTAAGATTTAGCAACAAGTGCGCTCAGATCAGTAAAACAGCCGCTAGTTATAACAGTATTCAGTAGGCTCGGCCAAGCAACCACCGGGAAGGCTGTACTTCACCTTTCAAAATATGCAAAAAATTAACAGTGAACTAAAAACGTTCCATCAAGGATGTAATGATACATGTTTCTTATTTGAACTTTGAATCACTTAAATGGAATTAACACAAAACTGCTACATTCCTTAATGTGTCCTCTGTTATCATCATCTGCACATCATGAGAGCAGAGGCATTCCGTCAGGGTTGGTCCACACACCATCGTATGATGCCTCACGTAATGACACCACAACTTAAACCGGATTATCCAAAGGCGAGTGACATCAGCGTCCCCTCCTCCCCCCCAACGCTCATCGCCTCTGACCATCTGTGGGTTACCAGAGGGCATTCACTCCAGTAAGTTCAATGGTCACACTGGCTGCCGCTTCACGGTCAGCTCTGGCCTGCATGGTCACCCTGCAGCTGTCACCTGGAACAGAGCCTTCACAGGCACAGCACTCTTCTCACGGCTCATATATGAACAGAAATGTCTGACAGCATAAAGACTGATTGTGACTGAGAGCTACGCTGAGATAAAGGGGTTGTGATATTAACACGGATGACATGTGGAAACAAGTCAAAGGTCTGAGAAGAAAAAAAAGCATTTCATTTATCAGTTTATTTCCCTTTATAACATTTAACACAGAGATTGAGACATTTCAGGACTTTCACCATCCAAATTTCTTACAAAAGATCTTACAAAATGTTCCAAAAAAAGGTTTATCTCATGATACAAGGACAAGTCAAGTGAAAATCACTGCCTGGGGTAAACACAACTAATTTTGTTTTTATTTTTATTTTTAAATGAAACACCTTCACAGGTCTGGGATCAGTTGCACTTTCAGGTGGCCGGTAAACTTCAGGCTTTCTCATAGGTGCGGACTGCTGTGACTCCCTCAAAGCTTAATGTCTAGGAGAAGAGGAGAAATAATGCAAACCACAAATGGATTACAGGCAGTTATTAATAATCTCTGAGTGTTTTGGAAATGTTTTAAAGGGGTCATGTGATTAATAGTTTATTCATAACTGTCATGGTAGATTTGTTAGAAAAGAAACCTTCACCAGAATTGAATAAGCTCACAAATTGAATTCATTAACTTTAATTCTCTATAAACTGACAAATATAAGAACAAAAGTCATGAAAAGCACAGAGCTGATGTTTAATCTTACCATCACCATCTTCCCATCCTTGAGTTCTCTTACAAATTTGGTCTCTTTGCCATCCCACTTCTGCACATGCACAAATTTGTCTCCGTCCATGGTGAAGGTAGACTGTAAGAAGAAACAATACTCAAATTAAAACCTGCACTGAACATGCTTAAATGACAGTAGAGAACATCTTGCCAAATTTAAACCAGCTCACTTTGACATGCCGGTCATCAGGTGTGGTTTCATCAAATTCTTCTCCCAGTTTGGCAGAAATCTCTGTGTTCCTGAATGTGCTCAAAGTTTTTACAACCACTTTGTCTCCATCTTGGCCGATGACCACTGTGGGTTTGGTGACATTCCCCACTTGTCTCGTGGCAAAACCAACCCCTGAAAATCAAAGCTCCTGAGCATAGAAATGCTTGACTGGACACTAACTGTGCATGTAGTGCATGTCAATGAAAAAAATAAGTGCAACATGCTTACCAAGTGCCTTCATATAATCATCAAAGTTCTGGCTGTCGATCAATTTCCACGTAGCACAGAAAGCATCAACCATTTTTGCAGACGTTATCGCTCCACTTAAGTGTCAAACTGTCACCGTCTTCCCGCTCTGAGTGCTCTCAGCATCCCTGTAAGAGTCTCTGACCGTCCCTTTAATACTGTAGCAGAAGGCGGGAACATTAGCGGCAAAGCCAATAACTGATTGGCTGTTCCAGAAGCTACGCGACTTCTTATTGGTCGAAGTGAAACATGCTGTTAAACCATAGTAATTACGCGAGGAGGAATTATAACAAGAGGGTGTGACGCCGTTTTCACATTGAACTCGATTGATAAGGAGATGTAACATTGTAGGGCTTATTTGCAGCGGAGATTTGTTTTGTCCTTGTCGTAAAGTAGGTGATGACAAAATGCTAAAGCATTGGTCATCTTCGGTTTTGCGTGGCCGCATACTCAATGCTAACAATGAGTCGGAAGCAGGACATAATATACTGTAAGTTTTGATAACCATCGTCCTTAGACATAGTTGTGTACCTACTTACTTTCTCCTGTGCAATTCACGACCCAGACGGCGAGGGTTAAAGGGAAGCTTGCTTTTATTTGTAGACATTATCTTTACTGTTTGTACAAACTGTCGTGATGACTAGTTGCAAAGTTACTCATCCCAATCCCCTGAAAGGCAACCTCCTTTGCCAGAGAACAGAGATATCCTGGTTTAGTAGAAAGACCATGATAAACTGTTTGAACTGCATACCTTTATTGTTCATAAAATCTGTTGATACAATCTGACATGAGTACATATATCTTCTGTAAGAAAACAGCAGATCAGTCACGATCAATAACACCAAGAATGGGAATAACACTGGTCATTGAAACCATATGATACAAAATGTAACCCCTTCCTATTGTTGAATCTGTTACCAAACTGTTTTTATCTATACACTGTATTCTTCTAGATAATTATTGGCACTGATCAAGGCCAGTAGTGTGAAAACCTTCTATACCAAAAGTAATCCTCCCCCAAAAAAATCTAATTCATACAGTATTGAAATGTTTCAGTTTTGATTCCGTGATGCTCACATATAGTGCATGCAATATGAAGCGTAACATATTCCTCAATGAAATCCGAGAGATTATAAAGGTTTACAGTATATTTCTGGGCTTTTTTTTTTAAACCACCCATATAACTTTCAAATAGTTTCAACTCTGAACAGCTCTTTTTAAATTAAAAATGGCAGAAACCTGTGGTTCCTGCTTCACTTCTGAAAAAGGCAGGAATTCATTGACCAAGTTATTTCATCATGGCTCCTCTAGCGTTAAGTGCTCAAGGCTAAAATGTTGAACAATGTTTTCAAAGTATCTCCTTTTCTATTATTTGTTTAAACAAAACAGGTGAAAAGTTAAGGATCAGGGGAAAAAAAGTTATTTACAGACAGGGCTGAAGAGGTAGAGGAAGAAAAGTGGGAGAGGTCGAGAGTGAGGTAGGGAGCGCAGAGCAGCACAGGAGCTTCTCCACATTAAGGCCTATCTCTCCTCTCCCCTAAAACCTTAAAACAACATCATCCGTACAGCCAGTCTAGAGAAAAGGTTTTTAACCATAATGCAAAGTGACACCTTTTATCATAAAATCAGGCTTATTGTACCTTATAAAGATTATGTTTTAGATTTAGAGAAGGCAATTCCCTGCATTAAACTGAATTTGAATTTGTCAGAGAAAGAAATAATTTAAAAACCACTGGAGAGTGTTCTTAAATAAATTGTTAACTTTTAAGTCAGTAGCAACTCCAGCAAGTAATTATGTCTATTTAAAAAAGAAGGATCATTATCGGGATGCATATCGATATAGAAAGGTATGACGACCTTTCATTACAAAAAAAGTTTTGCTTCTCACCCTTTCAAAGATGAGTACAAGGGATGAATTTATGGTTATATTTTTGTAATATTTAAAAGGTTTAAAGAGAATGACACTAAAACTTTTCTTTTTAAAGAAAACCGGTGAATACTGATTTGGTTGGATTGTCCTAATCTGCAGTGTGATATCTAATTGTGTGTGCACATATACTGTTACAGAAGTCCTGATTTGTCCATACACCGATGGAGGAAGGATGCTATCTGAATACACCAACGCTGATTGACAGTGGCACTTCTGCCTTCCTGGATTTGGCTCGTTCTGCACCATCAGAGGCTGCAGTCTGCCCTCTGAAAATAAGCAAAATTCATTAAAAGGATTGTGAATAAAGAGAATACAGACAGAGAATAAAACATGATCTCTACGCATTTTCTTTAAGGGCTCCCACCCTTTCCGGCGTTGCTCTGCCTGATCCCTGAGTCTCTGCTGTCCCTGCTTGTCCTCCATGGTGATGAAGTCCCTGTTGTTGTCAACCAAAAGGTTCTGGAAAGATAAGAAAATGAAATATCTTTAAAGAGCCATTTCATAAAAATTCAGTAAAAAATACAACTCTTCAATAAAAAAGAACTTTGATATTACCTTTACACCAATTATATCTCCATCTTTGAGGTGGAACGGTGCTCCTAGCAGTGATTCTGCCTTTTTCTTCTTCTTCTTTTTTGATACTTGCTGTGTCTGACGGTAAAACGCAGTGAGAAAGCAGAAATTGAGAACCCAGTGAAAAATAATTCCTTTTTAACAGTGGCTCTCAATATTACCCAGTTGGAGATTTCCTCCCAGGTGTGTTTCTCTGGCTGGTGTTTGGCCAAAAGTAGAGAGTCAGGAGAGAGGCCATAGTGTGCAGCCAGACATGTACGTAGGGAACGGGGGGAGGAATCATGAGACGCGTCCCAGACCAGCTCCTCTGAGGGGTAGTAAGACTTCTCTCCAGGTATTCCCATCTTTATGTTCAGAAGAACTTGCTTAGCCCTTTAAACCCAGAATTAAAATGAATAAATAAATAGAGAAACTGAGTATTTCAATTATGTCAATAAAAAAAACATTTACTTTATTAGAAAATAAACATAAAACAAAAATTTACCCAAGATCCTCTTCCTTCTGTAGGTGCTGCACACAAAGGTCTGCACCACTGCTGAGCTTCAACTTCCTGAGGAGAATTTAAAATGTAACTCAAGTCTCTCAATCTCTTTTTACTTTCTCTTGCTGATAACAAGTGAGAACATAGAGGTGTCAAATGGTCAAAGAGGACAGTACTGCGACCTGAGTGTGACTTGTGGTCCTCTGAGAATACGCGCAAGCCTCTGTCCCTCCATCTGCCACAGGCGCACAAACCCAGAGGTTGGCGCACACACATCCTGAAGGGCTGGCAGTGTCAACACCTGAGAGAATAAGATGAGCATTACATGACAATACACGTTCAAAGTTGCCAAGTAAGAAAGAGGGGTGCACTACACTTCCTGACATGAAATATTTAGGAAGTATCAGAATATCATTTAGAGACACTTAGTTTACAATTCAATATCTAACATCTATTTTAGACACTGAAAAACACTGGAACAGCTCAAACATTTTACTGTAGAAATCCCAGCCTCACTATCATTATACAATTTATGAATGCAAACACAATCATAACATTGTAATAAAATGTTGTAATAACAATGATAACAGTTTGGTAACTTTTTTTACTTTATTTTAAAAAAGGGAAAGCGATCACTTGGCTAATTTTTGAGCACACAGTTCAAAGGGCAGAATCCCTGATAGTCTGTGGGAAAAACCACACATAAAATAGAAATTGACCAAAACCTAAGACTCTACCTGAGTCTTGAGGTCCTCCAGAGTGGCCTCATCTGAAATCTCCACCAGCCCCACACTAATCGGCTCTGGGGTGTTCCTGCTGCAGAAGTGAGGGGACTGAAAGTGGGCTCCATCAGAACTCTCAACCCCCAGATTTTGCTGTCCGGCAGAGCTGCTATGTGTGTGATTAACACTCGTTTCCATGTGTTTTGGATCCAAACACATCCATATAGATAGCTTCAGAAACCCCTAAGAAAAAAAGAACAGAAAAAAAACAGCTGAAGAAAGAACTATGATGCTGTAATGCATCTGCAATCTGCAGCTGTACCCAAAACAGTTAGGTACCTTTGGAGGTAAAAGTCCCTCTGCGACTACTAAAGTCTCTCCGTTTACAATCTTCAGTTCTGATAGGCACACATCCTAGGAATAAAGAAGGTTCCATTATCATGCGACCATGTAAAAGTCCCCCCAAAAAATATCATTTTTAAATCCTTTTTTATACACCATGGAAGATAAAATAGTCACTATGATTCCAACAACCACATTCCTTTCACTTAAAAAAAAAAACAAAATCAAGGAGGCAGGTTTTAGTATGACAGATGTACAAAAACAGCTATCGACTTGCCTCATCCATCAGAGGCTCTCCAACCTCTTCACACCAATCCAGTCTCCTCAAATGCCAACATGTGCCTAACAAAAAAAAAAATGAAAGAAAGACAGAAATCTGTTTAACCATCATCTTGTTTGTGGTGTATTTACATTGCAAACAGGAAACAAAACACTCGTAAGAAGATGTTTTACCTTCAAGTCCAACAGCATTCAACATTGCATTCAGACACTGAAAAGGAAATACAATAAAAACAATTAAGAACTATTTCAACACTTCAAATCTGTGTAATGTAGATGGGTAAACAGTGAATCTTTGAATTCCCTCACTTCTTTGACGGTACAGTTCTTCTCCACAATTATGTCCATCTCCATGCCAGCAGAGGGAGCTGAACCCACAGTGAAGAACAAGAAGAGCTGCAAGGCACAGAGAAGCTAAACTTCAGTCAGGTGTTTTACCCGTGTATCTCCTGGGTTGGTTTTATGGTGCGGGATTCTATTAAAGGCTCTGCACCTTTCATCGGTGCAGCTGCAGGATAGAAACAAGATTTTACTGAGGAAATAAAAGCCACACCTGTGACGCCTTGGGGCTGTTTCCCGGACAGAGAGTCAGTGTGGTCATGAGTCGCACGCCTGCCTCCCGAACACTCAGCTCCTCACAAACTGTTAGGCAAACCAGGATTAGGCAACGAGAGCCAACTTTTTAAACACACTCTCAGGTTTCAAAAGCAGATGATAAGAAGGAAAATTACAAGCAGGGGGAGTTCCTTTTAAACATTTTTAGTGGGACAGTATAAAAGAAAGTGCTTCTGATACTCTGTCAAAATGAGGGGGATTTCCACCTCTTAAGTGCTCTTCACCCCTGAAATCAGCCCCAGGAAACAAATGACAGTACCTGGAGGAAGGAGTTTCCCCGTGCAGTCGAGCTGCCTCAGACAGAACTGTGCACCTGGTCAGCAGCACAGGAAACATGAGTCAACTGAGGAATCAAAACCCAATAAAAAGCACTTTGTGTGTGTCAAAAGAAATATTACCAACAAAAACAAAAACACTTTTCCTGCTCAGCTTGAGGTCGACCTACACTCATTCAATGCAACTGCTCAATCAAACAGACGTAATGAAAAGACACAGTTGAAAACGTCTGGGAAAAGCTGTGTTTTTAAGAAAATTACTAAGAAAGACCAGTTTGGGTAACCTGGACCCTAATATGTACATTCTAAATTCTCCTTCTGACCCTTTATACCGACTCCTCAACTCTCTAAAGTTTTTTATCATATTGTGTGTCTTGAGAGAGTATGTAAATGTATTTAGTGTAAAAAATATTTTTTTTTTTCATGCACTTGTACTTCAAGGTGTGCATCTCATGCTACAATTCAGCAGCTTTGGATAAAAATGTGCTTCTTGCCTGAGGGAGGATCCTGTAGCTGCAGCTCTTCTTTGGCCCTTTGTTTGACTTCACACAGCAGCTGGAGAAAAGAAAAATGAAAGAAAAACTTGTAAAAAAGAGCCTAACACTTTCCCTGACAGATTAAAAAAAAAGAATAAGTAAGTGAGAAAAAGTTAAATTGACACAAATGACTGACCATGTTTCCTGTGGCTGGAACCTTGACTTTCTTCCTCTCATCCTCTTTTTCCTCTTCTCCTTTTAAATGCGGTCGAAACTCCACTTGGAGCCAGCGGCAGTCAGACGGTGTGGTCACTGTGACGACGTCTCCATTTAGTTTGAACACACTGAAGGAGTCGGGATAGCGTTAGGGCACGGACAGGACATCCTGCAAACACATGGAGGACTGCAGAGCTCTGACCTGCTGTCAAAGGACTGAGGCTCCAACACCAGCAGAGCATCTCCATCTTTCAGCGACAGCTCCTTCAGAGTACGTTGCATGTCGTCAGGAGGGAAGACCCGCCATCCACTGGCACCCCCTCCCTCTCCTGCTTCCTGCTCTCTTCCCTTCCCACCCTTATGCTCCTGGCACAGCAGGCTCTCCTTCGGTTCCCCCAGTGCCTCCCTCACCTGCCCAAGAGTAGAGCCACCTGCAAACCCTCTCGCTTCCCTTTTAAGGCCTGGCCCCCTATTTTCAAAGTCTCCCCCGCTCTTGTCAAAGTCCATTCCATTCTCCATCTCTCTATCCGCATCTTCACCCAGAAAGGGACGGACGACATTCAGCAAGACCGGCTCCCACTCCGCTCCCGTTTGGACGGTTTTGCCAAACACCTGAAAGAAGTCAATTGTGTCTGTGATTTGAACACAACTGAAAACGGAAGAAATCATTTAGCTAAACTAAGCATTTTCTTACCTCTCTGCCATTCCAGACAAAGAGTTCAGTGTTCGTGTAGATTCCTGCACTGTACAGGGATACACTGTCATCTGTAAAGAACAAATACAAGGACAATGAGAAAAAAAAGATTACTTACACCTAATTTTTTCTCGGGGTATTTTCAGGCCGATTATTTCTTTTACATGTCTAACCTGTGAGAGTTTTGTAAAGATGTAAACCTGCTGGAAGACTCTTGGCCACGGTAAGAGCCATATCTCCTTCCCAGAATTCCTGCATCTACGTACAAGGAAACAGCCTGTTACCTTAATGATTTCAACGCAAAGTGGCTGCTGTTTTTGGAACAATACCTGATAGATAGTGATGCGCAGATCCCCCACAGGCTTTCTCCGGTCAAAATTAAGAGAAATACACCCATTTGATTCTTTAATTGGCTGCAGGGCCCCATTTTCCAGCCTGTAGGAGGAAGCCAGGTGCAGACGCAGCTCCACTGTGTTGTTTGTGGCCTCAGATTTTTCACTGTAACAAAGATATATATAACCTTAGTTTGTTACAAACTCATTCTCTTTTTATTTCTGGGTGCTGCACTTTCTGTTTGCTCACTCATCAGTTTGAGTAATGTCAAACACGTGAGGCCTCATGACAGAGTCAAATAACGGAATACGATAAATGTTTTAATGTTTTAACTTCTGTACCGCATCTGCTGCAGACTGATGTTCTCCTCCTGAGCCATCTGGATGAGGTGAGAGGGAACTTTATATTGGGGATTGTTGAGGGCTGAAAAGAACCATTAAAAAAAAAAAAAAGTTAAAAACTACTTGTTGTCCCCATCTTTTATTTCCTTAACAGACCCAAAGTTTAAGTTTACTAAGATGGATTTTGACAAGAGCCCGCTAAAATTGTTCCCCTTTTGACTGACCGTTTTTACCTCTCCACCAGCAACACTAAGCAGATGTCTTCCATTACAAATGCTAAACACAGTACTGGTTACCTTCACAAGGTCTGTGCAGCTGTGTTTTTCTGTAGAACAGCATGTAGGCGCTCTCTTTGCCCTGGAACTGCTTCTCTATGTCCGACTCCCTGATGGAAGTCACGTTGGAGTCGTTAAGGTCAAACCAGTGGCTACCCTGCTGGCAGACAGGAAGGAGAACCGTGGGAAAACAGGCATCAAAGGAATGATAAGATCCTCACTAGCAAGAACTTGGCTCAGGGAATATAAAACTGAAAGAGCCTCTGAGGGATTTATGATCAACAATTTAAAGTAAACTCTGAGCATGGCTGTTGCTTTACTACCTCTGCTTTTGATTTGGGGTTTTCTGAAGGTGGTTCTGGATCTGTTAAAGGATCACAGTTGAAGGCTTGCTCTGCTGGGTGAGGAGGTTCTGCCACAGGGCTGGGTGGATTCGCTTTCAGTGCCACTCGAGTACCATTGGACACCAGCATGAAAACATCACTGTGGGACTGCAGGAACTAAAGAAGAAAAAAACAACACGGCATAAACACCTAAAAAAGAAGTTAACAGAAATTAAATACAAGATCGAAAAAATAAAATCTCAAAACAATCATACCTTTCCAATTTGACCATAGTGTTTTCTAAACTTTTTGTTCCATGACAAGCCAATTTTGTCCATAAGTTTCTGACCCAGCTGATCCACCAGAACAGTCTTTGATGCCTCCTGTTGGACAGCAAAGATATAAAATAAAATCTAATTCTACTGTCTGCACAGTTAAAGACTGGCGTACACAAAGGTCTGAGGTAAAGTAGCTTTGGGTATACCTGAGCAATTAGAGTAGTCAGGACAGACAAAGGGTCGTCATCTTGTATTTTCGACTCACATGCTTCCATGACCTCCTCTTTGACTTTTGTTGTCAAAGTTGTGGGTTTGCAGTCTTCCTCCTGACAAGATGAATTCAAGCTGCTTCATCTGAAGCATACACTGCGGATAACAGCTAAAACTGTCACCTATTTAATATGAAACAAAGCTGGTGATCTTACGGGTGGCTCCCATTGGCCGAGTTCATCAATATCCTTGATGTAAACATGGTAATGGCCACCGTAGCAGCCGCCCTTATGGATAATCACAGAAAACAGCTCGTAGGTGAAGTCGGAGCCTTCTTCATCCGTCTGTAAAGCCAAACCAGTGTAAGACATCTTAAAACATCTGCGTCAACTGTCAAATTTCTGTTGGGAAAACGGATCAAATCTGTCCAGTACCTGTTCACAGAATGGTCGTAGGTCGATAGTGAGAGGAAAGCTGTAGCGACCCGTTTCCTTGTATCGCTCAAATTTGGCGAAGTCAAAGCTGAATCTCAGCAAAGACATGGTCATGAATGGAGGCAGCTTCTTTAGCTTGGCAGACTAGATGATAGCAAAGCAAAATGAATATGCTCATGATGACAGCAATAAATAAATAAAAAGGTTTTTACAAAAATCTCTGTTCTATTGAACTGTTTGAGGGATTTTCATGAATTTAAAGATTTGTTACCTTTGTAACAGAATTCAAAATGTGGCACCAACCTTGGCAGCAGTGACTAATCTGTCACAGTGAGCACAGCGGTACAGGTTGTTCCCCTCAAACAGCTCCTCCTCTACAAACATGTTCCACAGAGCATCCTCCAGGCTAGATACACCACAAACACACACTGTGAGGTCCAGGAAGTCCTCCTGGGGATGGAACAAACACATCTTTCAAACAGTACATAGCTGAATGAAACTAACCTAAATGTGCAGTCGCTTATCCAACTACTCAGAAAGCTCAATCTTTCCTGGCCAAGGACAAAGCCCGTTTAGCAAAATCCCTGCATCAAACGACAGCTTTCTCTGCCTCAGGTCAGAAAAAAGCTGGGTCAGGTTTCCACAGGCACACACCTGTCTCTGGCTGACATTTCCACACTCTTTGCAGACAATGCTGTTAACAATGGTCCCGTGATAGAGCCGTTGGATTAATGTACTGCCGTTGGTGCCCACTAGGGAGTGCTCCAATGCACTGAACAGGATCCTGTTCAGCTCCTGCACATCGTGTTGATTAGTCCCCTTTAAGAACAAGAGCAAAAGAAAAAGGATAGAGATAATATTTTCAAATGTATATATAAAATAACTTCTTTCCCTATCTTTTTCCAATGGCTAAGGTTACAGCTTGTTTGTTTACCAGTGCAAGACGCACAATATGTGTGACTGATCCCACATTTCAGTTTGGAGAGGTGTTCAGTTCACAGTTCAAGTTCCCATGACAGTAATACCGTTTAAATAGAGCATCTTTACTCCACTAACTGACCCTCTTGCAAGATTATGCTAAATACACCTTGATGAATTTCATAAAGCTTGGTTTATAGTTTATAGGATGGAAAGAAGATTAACCCATTGAATTTTGGTGCTTTTTAACCATATTGAATTAAAATAGCAACCTTCGGAAATGGATATGGGAGATGATTTGCTCTCCGAATGCTCGTTTTCATTTAAATTTTTAGTACCAAGATAAATAAAATGCTCATCAGATTCAGTTTTTTATTAACTCTGCTTATATGTAATTTTGATCGATTTTATATATAGAGCTAGGTAATTATAACTTGTCCAACTTCAACAAATAGGTCTACATGAAAGAAGCATAAATGCTTTTAAACACTTTCTGTGGTTTAATCATATCATTACGAATGATTTTTGTAGGCAAAATCAGGTTACAATGCAGCGTGGCAGCATGCCAGTCTGTTTCTTTCTGGTCATGGTTCTTTGCACGCTAATTGGCCTAAACTCAACTCGATGGCTCCTATGGAAAATTGAACATAGGTACTGTAAGATAACTTGAGCCTTGCTGTCTCTGACAGACCTCGCTGCTGTTCCAACCGAAGCTGTCGGTGAGGTCGGCGGTGGAGGCGCTCTGCTGATCCACCAGCAACAAACGCGCAAACAGTCTCTGGAGCTCCAGCGGAATCACTCTGACCTGGGAAAGAACAACAGGCTTTGATACGATTTGTGAAGTCAGGCGGGATCAGCGGTGACAAATATGGGCAGCTTGCATCCCTCACTTTCGCCTCCGGTTCGTCTTTGTCTTCAAGACGTCCCAACTCCTCTGGCCCCAAACTGAACAGCTCCTCTGCAGACACACACCAACAAACCAAGAGGTTAAGCAGAGGTCAGCTGCCACTTGGTTTGATGGAGGGGAAGTCTTTACCTCTGAACTCTGGAGTGAAGAGCAGAGTCTGGAGGAGAGAGTTGAGGTAGCAGGTCCCACCCTGGTTCTTGATGCCGCACAGACTGCTCCGTCCCCGGGGTGGAGGTGGCTCATCTCCACCCTTCACAATTCTTCCTTTAGTTGAGGCCAAGGACGAACCTTCATCCCCCTCCTCTTCAAAAAGATTCCCAAACATGTTGCGTGGGGTTTTATTGCTTCGTTTTTCTCTCAGTTGTACGGGGATTGACGTCTCCCAGTCAAACGCGTGTTTTAACACTCTAACGTGCCCTCTTGCTATCTCATCTTGGTCTTACCGAGTTCTCGGTTGACAATGGCTGGACTGACTCTGAAATAAGAAGACTTCACGGGACTAAACATTGCGAAGATTGCCCGTTGTGTATGCGGTGAATTCGCGGTCGTGTAGTTGAGCTAGCTTACCGCGCTATCAAAGGTAAATCAATCACAGCCCCTCTCCGATGAGCAGCTCGACAGCTCAGCGAAAAATACAGATATCAGTTCTTAATGGTGGTGTTAAAACAACTGGAAAATAACAGATACTCGAACTAATAGGTGGACTTAAATCCTACTAAGATAGGCGAAGGACACAAACTCTCTCTTCCACAGTTCGCAACGAAATGGGAAACAAACGAACTGTAAATATAAATACCATCGCTGAACAGTAAGCAGCCATGATTCTTCCTGGGAGAGCAGTCAGTGGTGCATTATGGTACTTGTAGTGCCTCGTTTTGTAAAGACGCCAACTAAAAATGAGACCTTTTAAGATAATTTAATAAATGAAAAAATGTTTTATCTATAATAAGTTATTTTTCCATGATATAGCAATAAAAGAACGACATTTTTCAACGCAATTAAACTTTGTTTCCGGCAAAGTGCCTTTTTTTAGTTGTGCATTATGGGACTTGTAGTCTTACGAGAACCAATAGTATTCCTAATTATGTACTTTTACATAGTTTTGTGTAACACAGCTCATTAGGAAATCAGTATAACAAAAAATACTCAAATAAACACTTAAACTAACACTATGTTTCGTATCAAGTAAAGTTTAATCAATTTAGATAATATACTGGGACCTTACATATCTATATTAGTCAAAGAAAAATTGGACACACGTCCTGGTTAGCAAGCAAAATGTTAAATCGCTTTAATTCCATATGCTGTGACTTACAGATACTTATTTTTACAGGGGCACAGCTCTATTCATTTCTCTCAAGTTTGATTTATAAAAGGGTCACCAGTTGTTAAAATATAATTGTATAGTGGTCAACATGGTTTGGAACTGTACTAAATCACAATCAAAACTATGGATAAATCTAACCAACATCTAAACTTACATAGAAGCTAATACAAATATACAAATTAAGTCTAATTAGACAGACAGACACACACATATACACTTAAACACATAAACAGACACACTTCTCTAGTAGGTTTTCAGTTTGAATACTTTAGAGAGTGGTGCTTTGGCACTAGAGTAGATCAGATATGACTCTCCCTTATAACTGAAAAACTCCCAGTCACTGCAGCCAATTGTTGGGAGCCAATGGACAGGAACAAATCCTTCATATCCCTGCCACCTAAAAATAAACAAACAAAGAAACAGAAGTTAGTAGAAGTTATTGTTCACTTCAAAAGTGTTTCTACTCTATAATTTATCTAGCTCATTGTAAGAAAATACATCTACATCACAGCAATATTGTTTGTATATCTTAAGTTGGACACAGGTCAGGGGACAGATAGCAAATGGCAAAACAGACTGATGAAAGAGAGGCAGGCTAGTTGTTGACAAATTGAATACCTGTAGAGAATGCTGTTGAGAGAGTAAGATTCTCCATTATAGGAGTTAGCAACAACCAGAAAATATTCCCCCTTGAGGCTGAAGAACTCCCAGTCCACAGCACTTGAGAAACAGAAGAAAGTATGTGGTTATGAAATGCTTGGTTGTAAAATGGTAGCAAACATCATGAAATGTCTTTTCGGTGTTTATTATTATTTATTATGTTAAGCTCTGGGTTTGTAACTTGCAACTAATATATTTAATTTGGGCTACTACACAGTAATACCTGTAGGTGATAATATCCTGGAAGCGGACGAAGAGTTGTGAACTCATGTCCAGTTCGTAGATAGTTGAGTTGATGGTGTACTGACTTGGCCCATTACCATGGAGTCTGTGTCCATTAGCAACAACTAAGAACACTCTGCTGCCAATCTGAAACATTTCCCAGTCTGTTGCACAGAATGTCTACCATGACAAAAAAAAAAAAAACAGTCAATCAATGAGTCAGGTGTTGTATCCCTCAAGGGGAAATTCATTGCATACTGTAGTGTAGTCAACGGGTCAACAAGTGTGCACATGAAAGCCGAGACAGAGGTGGTGAACTACCATAGACTGAACAGTAAAAAAACAACATTTGGATACAGGGGCGAGGGGGAAAAGAGGAAATTAACATTTTACAATTAACTCTCACTCTTCCTCTAGCATTTATACACTGCCAATGCTAAATAAGCCTAACCATCCATCATCACCATTTTCCTGCAATGAAATCTTTAATGAGTGATTTCCTTCAGGATGGCAATCCCTAATGTAAAAACAGCACATTATCAAAACATTTAAGATTGGTTTTATGTCTCACTTACACTTAAGCTAGAATTAGCTACATCAATGCATAAATATATGTTTGAACATCAGAACAGTAAAATTGATTTGCAGTAACAGTGCTTTTCATAAAAAAAAACTTTTTTTCTCCTTTTTTTACTCAGCCTTGATTAATTTTGTGACTTGAACTAAATATGTTTCAGGTGGAAAGTGTTATATCAATAATATAGTAATAATTGACTAATTAACAGTGATACAATATATGAAAAGAAAAGGAAGTTTGTGTATGGGGACAATGCATGTCTGTTTAAAATATAGACCACCAGACTTTTAATGTATGGTACGTTTGGACATTTTTTTTACTATACATTTGGAAAGATGATGTGTCAAAATTTTTGTCTGACAGTGTTTCATCAAGACATAAAGCCAAAGAGATCAGTTTTCTATCTTCCCTCTCTCATCTAATGATTTCAGGTAATTTATTTCCACCAGCCCTAAGGGGTTCCTGTGAATCTTCATATGTACCTGTGGAGTTCCCCTTAATCACAAATCTATGTTTTCAATGTGTCAGTGCGCCCACATCCAGTTTGACAAGAATCAGTTAAATCACTCACTATCAGTCACAAAGTACTTCCATCACACAAGCAAATCATGCAAAACCACACAATCTATTTTTGACTCTGCCTTGATTGCATTTAGACACTTGTTCCTCGCCTCCAAAATCTTTTCCCTTTCATCTTTGTATTCCCTTCGCTCTATCTGTGCAGACAAGATAGTTTATCATACTCATCCCAGAGATACAGATCTCATCAGAGGAAATCAAATGGGCATCTGCTGTGATGATGAATGGCATGGAAATCATACAGCAAAGTGCTACCTTAAAAGTGCCATTAAGAATAACTCCCTCCTAGGCTCAAACATCCTTCAGATGTGCTGCCTAACTGCCTTAAAATGAGTGTAACATTATGTGGTTATCTTTGGAGAATTTAAACAACAACCTTAGATTACTTAAAGCTTTTGTATACCATAATGTTTTTGACACAGACCTTAATTGTCTGGAAAACCTGGAAGCTTCCATCGACCCAAACATAGATGACGGAGTCTACAGAGGTGGTCACTCCATCAAAAGCGTTTGCAACCACTAAGAAATGGTATGGTCCCACGGTGAAGAACTCCCAGTCGTAGGCCCCTGAAGTATGCAGCATCTGGTGGACCTCAAAGGACTTTGTTGATCTGTTCCACTTGTATATCACACTGTCTATTGTGTGGTTACTGTTACCTGAAAGGTAATCCAGTATGAGATAGATGGAGTAGTTTATCTATGACATTCTAGAAACTGTAGAAGGTAACAGGGGGTGTTTAGTTTCATTTTACCCCGTCTATGATTTGCCACAGCGAGGTAGGTTTGTTGATTGATGTCAAATGCCTCCCAGTCACGTGCACAGTAGGTCTGCAGAGTCTGAAACCGCACAAATCGTTTTCTTCGTTTGCTCCACTTGTAAATGACAGAAGAGTCTGCCTCTGACTCTTTGTTAAGTTGTTTCTCTGTTCCAGTCCCAGAATTAGACACCACGAGAAATACCTATGAAAAAAAAAACACTGGGAATTTAACTTCAAATAAAAATGTCTTTAAAAAGATCTGAGATTTCATCAACAAACTGTTATACCCTCTTGCCCATGTTGAAGTGTCTCCAAGCAAGAGCTCCATGTGTGCTGATGTTCTGGTAGTGCTTGAAACCTAAGTGGGTCCAAAGATACACAGCCGACCCCGAGGCTGGGGACCGGTGAGCCATAGCAGCCATCAGACCTATGCCAGGTACCTGGAACACCTGGAGAACAGGATTTTATTTCAGTCCAGGTTCGGATTGAAACAACAAATTGAAAATACACGTTTTGTGTTTTTATAGGTTGCAAAAAGGGAGACAAAATTTAATCACAATATTTTTTATAAAACAATAAAACGTATCCTTATGTGCCGTTTTAATTATGAGAAACACAAGATTTATAGAGCATTAGTATGAAAAGGGGAATACCTCTATGTCATGCGTCTCAGAGCTTGTGGTGAGGACCTGATGCTCCAACACATAATCAAGCCGTTTATGATCTGCATTAATGAAAAGGCAATTTCATTACTCATCACGCTAACAAGTGGAAACATTTGCTCACATGTAGTTGTTGGATATTCACCTTCCAACACTGTAATCCACACTGAACCATCACAGAGATAGAGGCCCTTTTTGAGAGGATTAAACAACAGCTGGCCTTCTAGTAACCCTGTGCACGGCCTCTCAGAGCCCACTGGCACTCGCATCTCAGTTTCTAATGTATCAAGGATATAGAGAAGTAAATGGGATGGTCATTTGTTTTTTGACCAATGAAAATGATATGAAATGTGTAACATGTGAATTTTATGTTCAAATCACCATAGGAGTTGACATGTCCACCGCCCTTCCCCCCTCTAACAGGTAGGTCTAAGAGCAGCGGCGGCACTGACAGGGTTGCAAGCTTTGGGTTGGAGGAAGGGCAGATTTGATGAGTGGCATCTGAGCCTGGGACCAGAACCAGCTGTCTCAGCAGCCCCTGAATATGGAGCACAAGGTGAAATATTAACTTTTAAAAAAAGGTTTAAGTGAAAGCATCATTTCAGGAATGATAGTATTATTTCAAAGTTACAAACTTACTGAAAATAGGCCTTTCCATCTCCCTTGACTTCCAATGTGGAACGTGGATCCCTGAATGTTCAGGTCTGAAGGAAAAGGCCTGGAGAGAACGCTGTTAGCCATAAAACATCATTAGCTGTAATGATTTCTTCTAAAAGAAGAAAGCTATTTTTCCCACTTGAATTATTGCACTTGAATTGCACTGTTCAGTTTGCAGAATTGAAACATGAGAACATGCGATGCACAATATGTTACATTTAGAAGTGCTACAGATCTTGCACCCTTCAGTCTGCCAGAGGGAGTTTCCACTACAAATCATCTCTCACACACTGTCAAACCACTGTGATGCGGCTGCAGGGTGCAGTAGCATTTTATTGCGATGAAAGATAAACTATGCTTCAAGGAAAACAAAGAGGTGATGGTGTATGACAGTGATCAGAGAGGAGCAAGAAAAAACATTAAGTTTAACTCACATGTCTAGCTGTGAGCTGCAGTCCACTGTGAGCCTCATGTGGCTATGAGCTATAGCTAAAACAAGCGTGTGCCACTGGTTATCAGCCAGATGGATGCCTCGAAACACCCAGTGCTCTAAAGCCTCTCCATGACCTTTAAAAAGAAAATGTAGGTGCTTTTTTGAGACCTTCAGTCCAAAAATTATTCGCTCAAGCTCCCCAGTATTCTTGACTTGCTTCTTTTTCATTTGCTGCTCCTCTCCAGCAAACCTCTTCATATTATTTCTTCCAATAGCGTCTTCCTTTACATCAGCTGCGTTTTTATCTATATGTTTTGGTTCCATCAATGAAAGGACATACTCATTGGTCTGTGTGAAAAACAGAAACCAACCAATCAGATTTGGCACTGATGCGAAGTTTAAAAAATAAAAAATAAATAAAAAAGTGTTTTAATTTCTCACATACTGCTGACAGACAGACAGACAGACAGACAGACAGACAGACAGACAGACAGAC